AGAGTTTATAAATATATTGTTTATTAAGCCATTTTCTGTGAAATGGGAAACATGTTGATGATCAGCTTATATGTATTGAACTGTGTACCTAAATAGGCCTATAGAGAGCAGTAAGAAATACTAGCTGGGCATGGTGGCGCATGCCTTTAATCCCAGCACTCGGGAGGCAGAGGCAGGAGGATCTCTGTGAGTTCAAGGCCAGCCTGGTCTACATAGTGAGTTCCAGGGCAGCTGGGGCTACAAGGAGACCCTGTCTCAAAAACACAAAAACAAAACAAAACAAAAAAAACCTTTTCTGCTGCCGGGCATGGTGGCTCATGCCTACAGTCCCAGCACTTGGGAGGCAGAGGCAGGAGGATCTCTCTGAGTTCAAGGCCAGCCTGGTCTACATAGTGAGTTCCAGGACAGCTGCAGGGAGACCCTGTCTCAAAAAGACCAAAAAAAAAAGAGAAAGAAATACAATTGCCATTTGTTTCTTAAAAGTACATCTTTTACATTAAATATATATTTGTTTCTAGGTTTTGGGTGGGTTTTGCTTTTAAGCTCACATAGAAATCAATAAACAGATGGACTAAAGAAAGCTAAGAGATTTTAGATTTTTTTATTGTTGTTAAGACAGAATCTTAATAGGCCTGCCTAGCATAGAACTTACCATGTAGACCAGATTAGCCTCAGACTCAGGGATCTGTCTGCCTCTATCTCCTGAGTGTTGGCACTAACAGTATTTGCCACCATGCCTGGTAAAAGCTAATACTTTTTTTTTGGTCTTTTTGAGACAGGGTCTCCCAGTAGCCCCAGCTGGCCTGGAACTCAGTATGTAGACCAGGCTGGCCTTGAACTCCCAGAGATCGCCTGCTTCTGCCTCCCAAGTGCTGGGATTAAAGGTGTGTGCCACCACACCCGGCTAAAAGCTAATAAATTTTAATGTAAAATTTTCCTTTGAAGTGATTAAAGTACCCAGACAAGTATAGCCTTTAATCCCAGCACTTGGGAGGCAGAGGCAGGCGGATCTTTGTGAGTTCGAGGCCAGCCTGGTCTACATAGTGAGTTCCAGGACAGCTGGGGCTACAGGGAGACCCTGTCTCGAAAAGACAAAAAAAAAAAAAATTTGTCCATATCTAAATTTTGTATTGTTTTTATCAATCAGCATACAAAGTAATAGGTTTCAGTATTGCGTTTTCAAGCATATTTTGTTTATTGATCCTGTTCCCCCACTTCTCTGTCCCCCTTTTGCTGGCCTCTTCCTCCTAATAGCCTACCTTCTCCTTTCATTTCTCTTAGATAAAAGCCGGGCAGGGAATAACCACAGGAAACACAGGAGGACTTCAGGAAAGCAAAGTTGATTTCTTAGGATTGCTGGTGGCTGGCAGCTCAGCTGGGGAGAGAAAGGTGACCAGCAGCCTTCTGACTGCTGAGGAAGTTCTTATGGGGCGTTGGGGAATGTGGAAGGTGGCAAAAATAATCTATAGTTTCAAGGGAAGTAGCTTGAACTGAGACAGCTCTTACATCAGTGGGTCTGGGTGCAGGGGCCTGTTTATCTCCCCAAATTATCTGGGGAACAGCTTTGTGCTGAGACAGCTCTAAATGCAGCTGTCTGGCCAGTTCCTGTTTTGCAAGGGGGACCTCGTGGCTTGTCTGGTGAGGCTTTTTTACACTGGAAGAGGGTCGTCTGCAGACCTGGACTCTTAACAATTTCCATGTATTCTAGTACCCTCTTTTGTTTTGAGACAGTCTTCCTATATAATCTTGGCTGGCCAGGCACTTGCTATATATACCAAGGTGGCCTTGGACTCACAAAGATCCACCTGCCTCTGCCTCCTGAGTACATGGATTAAAGGTGTACAGTAGCACATCTGACTTTGCCCTCTTTTTTCATTCCTAAGTGTTTATTTTTATGTATATGAATGTTTTGCTTGCATGTGTACATGTACCATGTGTGTGCCTGCTGAGACTAGAAGAAGGTGTCAGATCTTTTGGAACTGGAGTTAAGGTGGCTATGTGTTAGTGTGGGTGCTGGGAAGTGATCCTGGGTCCTCTGCAGGAAATGAACCTGGGTTTTCTGCAAGAGCAACAAGTGCTTTTAACTGCTGAGCCATCTCTTCCAGCCCTGCTCGCTTTTTAAATTCTTCCCTTGATACCTAAATTAGGTAACAGAAATTCACTGTTGTTATGATGCAAAGATTATGGTCTTAGATCCATAGGAATTAAGATTTCAAGCTAAATTTCAAAACTTGAAGATTTGTAGCATTGAGTTATCTTACCTGTCTGGACCTTAGTTTCCTTAGAAATAAAATGGGTATAGTTACAGCTATCCAAATACCTTGAGATTTAAATGTATTTAAAAATACTTAACATGAGATCAGGTACAGCAGTGTTGGCTTCTTGTACAGCTTCTTTGGAGGCTGAGACAGGCAGATTAATTTAGCCCAGGAGTTTGAGTCAAGGTTGGGCAACACAGTAAGATCTCACATAAGGAAAAAAGATGTATCTTCCATAATGCTTTGTAAATAGGAGATACTTACTAAACAATTATTATAAGGGCTGGGCATGCTAGCACACACCTTTAATCCCAGCACCTGGGAGGCAGAGGCATGCAGATCTTCACGAGTTCGAGGCCAGCCTGGTCTCTGTAGCAAATCCAGGCCAGCTGGTGCTACATAGAGGGAGACCCTGTCTCAAAAAAAAAAAAAAAAAAAAAAATGCAATTATTATAGCTGTTAGAGACCAATAAAAGAGACCAATAGTGGATACAGTATTGTCTTAATTTCACTGATTTGATTGCTTATTCTCCATAGTTTTGGAGTACCAAGGCTCTTAGGTATTTTATGGTTAATGTGTATACTTTATTATTTTTGTTGATCACATTTTACTATTTCTGGTTCTCATTTAACATTTGGTTATCTTAGCTTCTTCAGTTGTGAAGAGTAAACGATTTTTGCCGAGCAGCTGAAGAGGTGGTTTGGTGGTTAAAAGCGCTTGCTGCCCTTACAGTGGACCAGAGTTTGCCTCCTAGCACCCATACCAGCTCACAACTGCCTGTAACTTTGGCTTCAGTGGATCCAACACCCTCTTCTGGCCTGTTGGGACCTGCATGCACGTGTGCATACTGACACACACATACACATAGATAAAACTTAAAGATTTTTGCTGGGCATGGTGGCTCATATCTAATATCCCAGCACTTAGGAGGCTAAGGCAGGAGAATTTCCACAAGTTTTGGGGTTAGCATAGGCTACATAATGTGTTCCAGGACATCCTGGGCTCCACAGAGAGATTCTGACCTAGAAACAAAACAAAACAACTACCACCACTAAATTTGAAGAAAAGGGTTTTTTGGTTTGTTGTTTTGTTTTGTTTTGTTTTGTGAGACAGGGTCTTCCTGTAGCCCAAGCTGGCCTAGAACTCACTATATAGACCAGGCTGGCCTAGAACTCACAGAGATCCGCCTGCCTTTGCCTTCCAAGTGCTGGGACTATAGGCATGAGCCACCACGCCCGGCAGCAGAAAAGGGTTTTTTTTTTGTTTTTGTCTTTGAGACAGGGTCTCCTTGTAGCCCCAGCTGCCCTGGAACTCACTATGTAGACCAGGCTGGCCTCGAACACCCAAAGATCTGCCTGCCTCTGCCTCCCAAGTGCTGGGATCAAAGGAGTGCGCCATCCTCCCCACCCCCTACTCCCCCACCCCCTGGGCTAGAAAAGGGTTTTTAAGTGTTTCGAGGTTATGGATGTTTTTGAGATTTGGGTCACTTTTCCTCATGAACATGCACAGGTACATGATTTTTATTTTCCTTATGTTTATAGATTTCCAGGTTTAATTGATTGAAACATTGGGATAACCAATCTCTGTTCTCTTCTAGTTCAATATTTTATGAATCGCTAATTGCTATTATTACTAGTATTACTAATGCACATTTATGTACATGAATCATAATTTGTCAGTAGATATATACTTCTATTGAACATCATGTAATCCAAGAATGTAAGCAGAGCATGGTGACACATACCTTTAATCCCAGTACTCTAGGAGGCAGAGGTAGATAGAGATCTCTGAGATCAAGCCCAGCCTGGTCTACCTAGTGAGTTCCAGGCTAGAGGGAGACCCTGTCTCAAAAAAAAAAAAAAAAGAATGTAGATAAGCCCTTGCAGGCACCAGCACACACATAGCTGACTCTCACACAGACATACACATGAATAAACATGAAAGCAAATCTTTTAAAAATATAGACAAAAACATTGCTAATTATGTTTTCAGTTTCTATTGATGTAGGTTTTCCTGCTGTGTCTCAGCTACATTATTTTTCTTCATTTGTGTATGACAAGGTTTCTTAACATACATGTATTTAAAATTATATTTGTAATTTTATGTGTATGAGTGTTTTGCCTGTATGTATGTAAGTGCACCACATATGTGCATTGCCACTATAGGCCAGAAGAGAGTGTCCGATCCCCTGGAAATAGTTATGGATGGTTGTGAGCTACCATGTGAATGCTGGGATCTGTACCAGGGTCCTTTATGAGAGCAGCCACTACTCTTAACTACATTTCTACGGTTTCTTAATATTTGTACTAATGAGTTTTATTTGCTTGTTTAAGACAGGGTTTCATGTATCCTGGGTTGACCTCAAACTCACTATATAGTTGGGAATGGTCTTGACCTTCTGATCCTCACCTCCATTTCCTGAGTGCTGGGATATCAGGCATGTGCAACTATGCCTGGGTTCTATACTGCTGGAATTCCAACCCAGGGTTTCATGCATGCTAGGCTAGCACTTCACCAACTGAATTCAGCTACATCCCTAGCTATACATGATTAATAATTTGAACCAGATAATTCTGGTTGTGGCAGGTAACTTATTTTATTTGTTTGTTTTGTTGATATAGGGTACCATAATGAAGCGCAAACTGGCCTTGAACATACCACATAACCCAGCTGGACTCCAACTTGTTGTGATCTGCCTGTCTGAGCCTCCTAAGTGCTAGGACTACAGGCAGGCAGCACCACACCCAGCTAGGTTTGAAGTCTTAAACAGGATGAGATGTTTGCTTGTAGGAAGCTGGGCATGATACAATCCCAGCACTTGGGAGGTAGAAGCAGGAGATTAGGAGTTCAAGGTCATCATTAACTATGTAGTGAGTTTGAAACCATCCTGCCTGACATGAGACCCCATCTTGAAAAAAGAAAAAAAAGAAACGTTTGGTTTGTTGACAGACTTGAAAGGAAGGTTCAGAAATGGACAAGAAATTCTGGAGGTTAAAGCAGCTAGAAAAAGACCTAAGTCAAGCCGGGCGTGGTGGTGCACGCCTTTAATCCCAGCACTTGGGAGGCAGAGGCAGGCAGATCTCTGTAAGTTCAAGGCCATCCTGGTCTACATTGTGAGTTCCAGGGCAGCTGGGGCTACAGGGAGACCCTGTGTCAAAAAGACCAAAAAAAAAAAGACCTAAGTCACCACTGCAGAGAGGGTCTAGGTGGATTCTTGTGAGCAGCATGGAGAGTGCCTACAAGCAATATTGACTGCTTAGAGAACTAAACTTAACCTTTCTTTTTTTGAGACAGGGTTTCCCTGTAGTCCCAGCTGTCTTGGAACTTGCTATGTGGACCAGGCTGGCCTTGAACTCACAAAGATCTGCCTGCCTCTGCCTTCTGAGTGCTGGGATTAAAGGTGTGTGCCTATTTCTATGTTTTTGTTATAGATGCTGATTGAGAGTCCTGTTCTGGGGCACCTAATTGGCCCAGCTTAAGTCATTTGCCCTTGTTCTTTAGTTATAGTCAGATGTAAATTGAACAGTTTTCACAGGACCCTTGTTTTTCCTTTCTCTCTAATTAGATGGGGGAGCAGGGTCTCCCTATCTAACTCATGTTGACCTCCAGTTCCTGGGCTCAAGAATGGTCCTGCTGCTTCCGTCTCCTGAGTAGATGAGAGTATAGGGGTGCACTGTGGGTCTCTCCCTTCCCTCGTGGATCGTTGGCCACCGATCCATGAGAACAAAGGGAGCAGAGGTGGCCAGCAGGGTCAGGGCCGCCTTGAGTACGACGGAAAAAGTCAGCTTCACTGAGACAGCTCGTTTATTCAAGGGAGTCGGGAAAATAGAGGGTGAAGACAGCAGCCAAAGTTTTACCTGATAGGTGTTCATAGTATGCTTTATTTGCTTGTGGTAGAGGGACCCTATCGTGTAGGAAGGGAAGGGCGGATGGGGTGGCCGTAGTGCAATGCCTGATTATCATACAGGAAAACCCTAGGGGCAGCTCTTGCAGGTAACTATGCCAAAGGTCATGTTCCTAAATAAGGTCAGGCATCTGTGCTTGGAGACACTTTACAAACAAGGTCAGGCAGAGAGTAGGAAGCCCCTGCTGAGGAAGGGAGTCCTCCATTCCGGACATGGTGGATGCGACCTTCACCACAGGGTCCCCCAATGGCACACCACTTTGTAGGTTTCTCACAACCCCCATCTCCTCTTCCTCCTCCTCCTCCAGTTTCCTTTCCTTTTTAAATACAGCAATGATTTGTTGATAGCATAGCTTGAAGTGAACATATTTATCAGTAGCTTTACTGTTTTAGTAAATCTTTACTGTTTTCTGTCACTGTTTTCCTTTTAGTATCTAGCATTTACATGTGGCTTAATCAGAGGTGGCTTGTCGAACCTGGGGATAAAGAGTATTGTAACTGCTGAAGTGTCGTCAATGCCTGCTTGTAAGTCAACTTCTGTTTCTTATAACCAGAGGAAATTAAAAATGCTGAAAGTTTAATTTTAGTATCATTTACTTCACATTTATTTTGGTAATGTGTAGTGTACTCTACTCAATGACTTTTAAATTGATAGTAGGCTTTAAAAATCTGCTAAATACAAATTTATGAGACAGTTTAAGGGATAGCTCTTAACTTTGGTTTCCTTTCTTCTTCCCTCCTTCCTCCCTCTCTTCCTTTCTTCCTTCCTATATTTTTGTAAAAGAGATCATTGTAGGTTGATCAGTAAGGAGACAGGAAGCAGCTCATATTTGTTTTCCTGATGAATTCAGAGCTAAGAGATTTAAGTTCCTGGATTAATGAGAAATACAGAGCTGGTTAGTTGCAACAGGTGTCTTATACTGACTACTGTTCTGAGTGGAACTTGCAAACATTTTATGATTGGGGAATTCTTACCTTTATTTTTAAAAAATTGAGAATATTTATTGTATGGGGCTGGAGAGATGGCTCAGCAGTTAGGAGTACTGGCTACACTTGCAGAGGACCTGGGTTCAGTTCCTGGTATCCATATGGTGGCTAATAACTGTCTGTAACTCCAGTTCCGGGGGATCCAACACACTCTTCTGACCTCTGTAGGCGTTACACACACAGGTGCACTTACATACAGGAAAAGCACTCATACACACAAAAAAATAATTAAATTAAAAAAAAATATATATATATAGTTAGCTGGGCATGGTGGTATAATCCATTTAACCCCAGCACTTGAGAGGCAAAGGCAGGAGGATCTCTTGAGATACAGGCCAGCCTAGTCTATATAGTGAGTCCCAGACCAGCTCAGGCTACAAATACTCTGTGTGTGTGTGTGTGTGTGTGTGTGTGTGTGTGTAATGTATATATGTGGACGCACATGCCACAGTGTGAACATGGAGGTCAGAGGACACTTCTGCCTTTACCTGTGTTCTTTGGATCAAACTCAGGTCCTCTGAAAAAGCAGTTAGCACCCTTAACAATTGTGCCTTCTTTCTAGCCCCTATCCTTGATTTTTAAAATGCTACTTAGGCTGTATCTAGTTTATAAAGGTAAATAAAACCAGCTAGTCTGGGCGTGTTAGTGCATGCCTTTAATCCCAGACTAAGAGGCACAAGTAGGTGGATCTCTCTGAGTTCAAGGCCATCACACCAAAACAAAAATCCAGCTAAGCTTTTGTCATCCAATTTTCAGTCTTTTCACTGTAGCTACTAGCCAAGAATAAAATTTAGTTGAACTTCATTATATTACCCATCTGTCACAGTGACAAATTAGTAATGAAATACCTGGAAGCTAGAAGTCACAAACAGAAACAGAGGCACCACATAAACCAGATAGTTGTTCAATAAAAATGGAATTGGCTTTATTGAATATTGTAGTGAGTAAGAAAAGACATTTGACAGTAAGGTTCCTGAGTGAAACTACTTCCTGAATAGAACAGAATGTACTTGTTTTCCTTGTATCGAAACTCAAAGAACAAGTTTTATTATTTCTTTTTCAGGCAAATTCCAGGTGATGATACAGAAGCTGTAGAACACACTGGAAAGCAAGGCTTCACATTGTAAAGAGATAAATTATTCCTGTATAAAGTATTCCAAGTAATGATTTGATTTCATCATTGGATATTTATTTTGGAGCAAGGGTGTATTTCATTTCATACAGACCAAGTCAAAGCAGATAAAGGGTCATTCTACTGTGACCTAAACTTTACTGAAACTATTCACAATGATTTCAGTTAGCTAGACATTAAGATGTAAGATTCTTTTAAATGTTTTATTTATTATTTTTATTTTATGTGTATGAGTTTGAGTTTTATGCCTACATCTAGGTAAGTGCACCTGTGTCATGCAGTGCCCACGGAGGACAGAAGAGGCTGTCTAATCCCCTGGAACTGGAGTTACGGACAGTGGTTAGCTGCCATGTGGATGCTGGGATTCGAACCTGGCTCTTCTGCAAGAACAGTCAGGTTCTTAACCGCTGAGCCATCTCTCCAGCCCCAAGATTCTTTATTTTAAACATTATTTCCTTATGGTGATATGTCTTTAACCATAGATTGTAAAATCAGACTCAGGGTTTGTTGAATTATCATATAGGAAAATATGCACCAATCAGAATTGTTTGTGTCCGAATGACTAAAATTGTTAAAATATGATTCTGTTGCAGTTATTGAAAAAGGAAAAAACACCCCAATATGCTAAATTAAGCTTAATTTTTATTATTATTATATTGCTTATAATTTATTTCTATTGAGAGAATTTTTATGCTTATATAAGAATTTCATTTATACATTGTGTGTATATATAAATACATATGTGACTATCTAAATTGCTTGACAGTGTATTTTCATTTTACTAGATGAAATAGATGGTGTCCTCGAAGTGAAATGTGGATTAGTTTAAATGTGAATTTGGTAATTCTAGTGCTAGAGAATAGTAAGTATGTTGGAAAGGAATTTTTATGCTTTTTCCTGCTTCAATCTTGACTTTGAACTTTTCTCCTCATCCATGGAAGTCGTGGTGTAAGTTCTGAGTCTTTGTCTTTATACCATTATTTACTCTCCACAAGGGAAGAAGGGTAGTTAGCAATCCAAATCCCAGCATTCACTGGGTCGCATCTTCTGGAGTTGGTGTTAGTGCTCATCTAGTATATCTCTTTTCTGATTTCTTTGTTTTAAATTATCTGGCTTAAGCAGATAGCTCTTAAATTTTTTAAAAACTCTGCATGCTGATTTTTAAACTGTACTAAACCTGTGTGTAGTGTCTGTCTTGTCAAGGTTCTCTAGGAGAACAGCAGATTGAATGGATATATATCATATATAGGGATTTATTAGATTGCTTTACAGGATAGGGTCCAGGTAGTCCAAAAATGGCTGTACCACATTGGAGAGGCTGAGAATTTGGAACTTGCTCAGTCCACAGGCTGATTGCCTCAGCAGTCCCAATCTAATGCTGAAGGCCTGAAGGATTCCTGGAAAGATGATGGTCTTCAGTCTATACTGGAACTTGAAGAAGTTGGTTTTAATATCGGCGTAGGAATACCACAGCAACAGGATAAATAAACTTACCAGCTTTCATGGGTGAAGGAAAGCAGGCAAAAAGGGAATGTTTCCTTCTTCCATGTCCTTTTGTCTGGGCTGCCACCAGAAGATGCTGCCCACATTTAGGATGGGTCTTCCCCCTTCAAATCATTTGATCAAGAAAGTCCCCCGAGGAGTACCCAGTGGCTTATGTTTTAGTTGATTCCAGATCCAGTCGAGTTGAGAACGAAGATCAGCTATCACGGTGACGCTTGCAAACTTAGCACTTAGGAGAGTTAGATAGGAGGATCTCAAGTTCAAGGCTGTCTTGGGCTGCATAGGGAAATCCTGTCTGAAAATAAACCAATTTTATTTGTTTTCCATGCATTAGTTACATATACATTTGTTTGACAGAAAACTCTGCATCAAAGATCTAATTGACATGCCAAAAAAAAAAAAGTATCACTGAATGAAGTTAGCAGATTGAAGGATGACTGCTGGGTCTGGAGAGGTGGCTCAGTGGTGTGCTGTGCTTCCAGAATACCCAAGTTCAGATTCCAGCCATCTCATCAGGTGACTGGCTGGCTTACAACTGCTTGTAGCTCCAGCTCCAGGGGATCTGATGCCCTCTTCTGGCCTCCACAGGCATTGCATGGCATGGACATACAGGCACAATATTCATAGGCATAAAATTTAAAAAAAAATTAAAGGAATTAATAAAATGAACCAAAAATTATATTTAAAATAAAGTAAAAACTATAAGAGTTTAGAGAGATTTGAACTAGGCTTTTAGGGTTTGATCCCCAGCATTACATCAATAATTTACTTTAGGACATTAGGAGAAACAAAAAAAAACCCAGGGCTTAGAGAGATAGGAGGCAGAGTTTGGGTTTGAGTCCTAGTATCACACAAATAATTTACTTTAGGACATTAGGCAAAAAAAAAAAAAACAGTTAAATTAGACGTATTTTTCTTTCATAAAAGGTACAGTATTAAATGTCAGAAATTATTTTTATTTTTTGGTCTTTTTGAGACAGGGTCTCCCTCCAGCCCAACCTGGCTTGGAACTCACTATGTAGACCAGGCTGACCAGGCTGGTCTTGAACTCACAGATATTCGCCTGCCTCTGCCTCCCGAGTGCTGGAATTAAAGATGTGCCACCACCCCTGACTATTAAAGTAATCTTAATTAACTCATTTACTGGATGTGAGGGCAATCTGGCTGCAACATCTGTCATCCTATTGATTGCCAGGATTGATTCAGCTGATGTGACTGGCTAGGCGGGTGTCCCCGTCCTCCGTGAATGCTCCACATGCATCCTGCCCAAAGTTGTGTGCTCACCGTCCCCGATAGAGGAGGATTGGTCTTCAGTCAACGGTATATGAATAGCTGCGCTCCCCGGCTAGAACCTCCAAATAAGCTCTCAAGTCATTTAGAAAGAACAATTTAAAATTTAAAAACAACCGGGGCGTGGTGGCGCACACCTTTAATCCCAGCACTTGGGAGGCAGAGGCAGGCAGATCTCTGTGAGTTCAAGGCCAGCCTGGTCTACATAGTGAGTTCCAGGACAGCTGGGGCTACAGAGAGACCCTGTCTCAAAAAGACCAAAAAAAAAAAAAAACAAAAAACCTCTTGGCCACCCCAGTACCAACAGGTAGGTCAAGTTACCTAGGTCCCATGACGGAGAGAGCAGGGGTGCCTCTGTGGGGGTGCACCCACCTCCATGCACATATACCCATCACACACAGTACATTCCAGGGACTGTCTCTGGTGTCTGGGCAGAATAGGAGGGAAGCCTCGGGTGGTCTCATCCTTCCCAAGCCCAGGTAGGGAGGACTTATAGATATCCCGATGGCCAGTGGGTTAGCTGAGAGGGTCAGAGCATGGGTAGACCGACACAGGAGATTCGTAGCACAGGTGATGTGTGGGGAGGTGATGAGTTTGGGACAATCTGTATTTCAAGGAACAACTTTCCTTTTGTTTTTGGCTAGTTTAAATTTTCTTGCTGACAAATTTCATCTTTACTTCTATAGGCCCCCCTGGTCACTTAGTGTCAGTCTCCTCTCCTGTGGGCAAGCCAGGAAAGGCTGGGGGAGAACAAGGGCCAGAAGGAAGGTCCAGTGACAACACAGGCCCACCCAAAGGGCCTTGAGGCTTCAGGTAGACAGTTTCTTTCACACTTGGAAATGGGACAGTGTTTGGGGTTTTTTTTGTTGTTGTTGTTGTTTTTTGTTTGTTTGTTTCCTTTTTCCTTTAACTGGGTAACAATATGGGATGGGGGTGGCATAAAAGGGCTTGAGGTAGGAGTGCATCTGGGGTCTGTGGGTCAGGGGGCTGAAGCTACAGCCCCACTATCCCCAAAGTTCTGGATGAGGTAGGTGCTTGAGCGCCAAAGCAACTAAAATCCATCCTGAGAAAATAAGGTCAGAGCAGGGTGACAACATCAGAGGCCCAGCCATAGCAGGGACATATTTTTGGAGTCTAGTTTACCTTCCTCTCTTCTTTCTCTGTCTCTTTGACTTTTAAGTTTTGATTTTTTTTTTTTTTTTTTTTTTTTTTTTTTAAAAAAAAAAAAAAAAAAAAAAAAAAAAAGAGGACGATAAATCTTTCACTCCAGGCTGGCCTTGAACTCGCAGAGATCCACCTGCCTCTGCCTCCCAAGTGCTGGGATTAAAGGCGTGTGCAACCATGCCCGGCCTTTAGTTTTGATTTTTAAAGGAAATTTTTTGTTCAGTTCAAAGTCTTGTGGACAGCAGGCACTGGGGCACTGGTGAGGGAACATCAGCCTGGGCAGCAGAGGAGCCTTCCTGCAGGGACTCACCAGCTCCTGGAGGGTTGACAACGCTGCTTTTTCGGCAACCTATAAAAGCACTGGTGAGCTCCTAGGACCATCTGAATCCTGTGGAACAGGAGAAACCGCTCCTTGGACCAGAAAATGGGGCAGGGGCTGTCCCTCTGGACCCCGCTGGATGCTGGCTACTGTCTTGAGTGAGCAGTCTGAGAAGCTGAGGCTTCAAGGGGCTGGGTCACCTGTCCTTCACTGAGGAGGCCTGGATCTCCATTCTGGGGCAATGGGGCAGGTACAGGCCTGCACAGGCAGTCTTGGTTTCTATTGCCCTTGCCACAAGATTGAAGCCTTGAAGTGGCGAATGGGGGCAGGGGCTGTCCCTCTGGACTCCGCTGGATGCTGGCTACTATCTTGAGTGAGCAGTCTGAGAAGCTGAGGCTTCAAGGGCTGGGTCACCTGTCCTTCACTGAGGAGGCCTGGATCTCCATTCTGGGGCAATGGGGCAGGTACAGGCCTGCACAGGCAGTCTTGGTTTCTATTGCCCTTGCCACAAGATTGAAGCCTTGAAGTGGCACCATGGAGAGCTGAGTCTCCTCATACAGGACAGGGGCTGTGGGATCCTGAGGGGAAAAGGGTCAGACACAGGAGTCAGTAAGTACCGGGACCAGAGGCAGACTTCATTCCATCCCAGGATGCAGGTCCAGCAGGTATGTCCAACCTTTTGACAATGTTATACACTGTCATCTACAAAGTTCATGCTGGAGAACCTTGCAATCAAGTCTCACTCACACACACACACACAAATCTCTTTTTCTTTTTTGAGACAGAGTCTCACTGTGTAGCCCTCACTGGCCTAGAACTGGCCTCCAATTTACAGAGATCTGCCTGTTTCTCCCTCCTGAATGCTGAGATTAAAGACATGTGTCACCACCCCCAGAATCATAAATTTTTTTAAAGACATTATCTCATGTAGCCCAGGCTAGCTTCAAACTCTCTATGTAGCCAAGGATGGTATTAGAATTCAAAACAACTTCAAGCCCCCGTTGTGCTGGGCCAGCTGTGGCCAGGGCTTCCACAGTAGCTGCAGGGAGGAGCTGCCCAGCACCTGTACTGGCAACGGGGGTGGGGCAGGGGTTTCACCCAGAGTGCTGGCCATGGTGGGGACAGAGGCTAAACTGGCCCCTCTTGGTGTGTAGGCCTTGATGTAGAAGCTGTAGGCTGTGGAGGGCTCAAGGTCTCTCACCAGGTGCTGAAAGTGCTCTTGCTGACTGCTTCCTGATACTCCCAACTTGGGTGAGTCAGCAACCTTCCTGATGTGCAGGATGTAGCCAGTGATCTCCTTGGTATGGCCAGGGACTCCAGGACACTCGAAGCTCAGTGGTGGATACAGAAACAGCTTGAACATTGCATAGAGGGCTGGGCAATCCCTGGTCCTGTAGCACTGTCAATCTGGCTCTGGCTTGTGATGGGCCAGTAATGTTCTTGGCCACGCACTAGTAAATGGCCTCATCTTCAGGGCCA